GGAGGAGGAGGAGGTTTCTCAATGCGGGGGGAAGATGCTGCTCCCGGGCACTCTGTGGCAGGTGCGTGGTTTGGGCGAAGAGGTTGCGGCCGTTTCAGGAGCTTTTGCTGTTCAGTCGGTGTGTAGCTGAGGCGCTTGCAGAGGTGAGGTGCTTCAAGCGTTGGCTGGAGTATTTGCAGTTTTGGACTGAAGACACTGAATTCCGCCCACTTAAGCAGAATGTTTTGCGGGCCAAAAATTTAATTCCAGGGTATTCTGTGTAGCAGCGACATTTTCTGAACATCTCTCACGTAGGCTTTTCACGTCAGGCTTTAAAGTGCTGCCTTTCCCATGTTTTTCTTTGATTTGTGCGTGTTTAAAATCACAGAGCAGACCAGGTGGGAAGGGCCCTCAAAAGATCGTGTGGGACAGGGAGGCTAGGTGAGGTTATCTAGCACCCTGTCCAATCGTGTCCCGAAACCTCCAGCGATGGGGCCTCTACCACGTCCCTGGGGAGGCTGTTCCACTGAATGGATGATTTACTGTAAAAAATGTTCATTTTAATGATGACCTTCTGCATCAACGTCTGTCTTCATTTTTGCAGAGATCGAAAATTATATAAACTGGGACTAAAAGGATTTTACGTCAAAGATGACAATGACAGTACAGGTAAGGTGGTGAAATGCGCTGCGCAATATGACATGCAGTTAAAGTGAGTTAACGTGTGGTTATTTAAGGTACAATGGGACTGTGTAACTGCCAACCCGTAGTTTTGTTCTTATTTCTGGCTTGTTTTTCAGTACTTTTGTTGTGGCGACGGATGCGAATAGTAACTTAGCACAACTTTCGAGTTCCTGTGATCTTGATGCGGAAGTTTGTGTCCAAGCAGGTGCAACGTGCCTGTTCCTGTTTGCACGGACTTGCCATAACCTCCACCTGGTACACAGAGCAGAGTAGCTCACAAGTGCCTGACATGCTCTCAAATCATGATTTCAGCTTCCCAAGCTCAAAATTAATTCGTTAACAGAGGGTCTGCAAATCCTAGGTGTTTGCTTGGGAATAATGTTGTCCTGCCTCCGCCCCAGCCTAGGGCATTAGCTGCTGCTGATTAATCCGCTGGGCCAGAAGTAGAGAAGAAGCAATAGCCCTGATGGGGGAAATTATGGTTTGCATGTACCTGAGGAATCTCATGAGGAGGACTGGAGGAGTATGTCTTTCCCTGCTTGCTTGTATTTTAGGAATAATCACAGTGCATGCTCTGGCAGATTCAGCAGCAGTCTCTTGCTCCATCCTCCTGAATTCCCAAATGCCTATCCGAACATAATTCCTTGGGTATCTGACTTTTCATTGCTGTCTTGGCAGCTCCAGCATCATATAATAGCTTGATTTGAAAGGAAGAAGTCTGAACAGAAAAGAATGTCCATAGAAGCTGAGGATGAATGGCACAGGTTAGATGGAGGCAGTGTGAGTGGAGAGAAGGAGGAGAATGTAAACCATGGATTTGTGCATATGTGACTGAATTGTAGTGAGAGTGATCAGTTAAACAGAAGAGTCTTGTGCTCTGGTCATTTGGCAGTAGATATATCCTGACAAAAAAAAAAATCTTAGACTTTTCAGTTTTATCAACTGTGTCAAGAGCTTTTGTATTTCCTAAGTTTCATCAAGATGTGGTTCCTGCTTTCTCAGAGGTATTTGTAATTTTATATACATATGATGTTGCTTAAAAATTTGATAGATTTGCAAGCAGTGTTTTGATAATCTGGGACTATTCTATTCTGTAGCTCACATGTTACATTTTTGTAAAATCAAATTGTCATTTTTAGTGTGTTTTTGAAAGATTTATAACAAAACCAGCAGTTTCTTGTATTTTAAGCTTGCTCTGATACATGCCAAAAGAGCTCCTGTAAAGAATTTTCTTTTCCTAATACTACTTTTTTTGTTGTTTGCTGGGCGTTATTGCAGCTTGCTCTGCGAGTTACTGAGCTGAGTGTTTGCGGTGGGTTCACCCCAAGCACCCACACCCTCTACCCCAGTTTTTATTGCTGAGCATCATCACGTTCTACAGTACTGACTATCCCTTCAGCCAGTTTGGGTCAGCAGTCCCAGCTGTGTCCCCTCCCGACCCCTTGCCCACCCTGGCCTACTCACTGGGGAAGGCAGAGTGAGGAAAAGAGAAAGTTAGGAGGCTGTGCAAGTTCTGCTCAGCAATAGCCAAAACATCGGTGGGTTATCCACACTGTTTCAGCCACAGAGCCAAAACACAGCGCTATGCGGGCTCGTAGGAGGAGAGTTAACTCCATCCCAGCCAGACCCACTGCAGTGTTTTGGCTGTCGGAGTTAGGTTTTGGTTCCTACTGATGGTTATGCAGAAAATGAAGTGGTTATGATGAAAACTTTAAATGGGAAAGGAAGCTTAAGAGGCAGTTTCTGCTAATTTTTGTAGGCCATGCTGTTGCATTGAGGTATCAGAATTATATTCACTTAATATAATTTGTTAATAGGAGAGGAACAAGCATCTGAGGAGGAGAACCGTTGTCCCAATGTGACCTTAAAGGTGGATGCTAATCATGCTCTCGACCTGGAAGAAGTTGAACTAGACTCAGAGGCTGAGCTTATGAAGAGTATGGGATTGCCTCTTCAGTTTGGTGGGCAGTCAGCCCACAGGGACTTTGTGGTAAAATCTTTATTTGCTTTATTTGTTCTGTTTACTTTGTGTTTCCAGAAGTAGGAGCGTGTCTGCCCCGTTATTTTTGAGACTACAGTTCATGGAAATGTATCCAAGCTGGCTTTAAGCTGCCTGCCTTGTGTACTTGTCTCAACATTCAGCGCCGTGGTCTGTGCAGTTTGTAAAATCCACCTTCCTGTTTGACTAGAGAGGGTCAGGCCGTGCTTTATGCTTCCATATCCATGTTCCTCTTGCTACTAGAGAGCGCTGGTTTAAAACAGCTGTGCTAACATTGATGCTCTGCATCAGTCTGAGCACGTGTGTTCTGCTTTAACCATTTAGCTTTGGGTCTAATGCAAAAAGCTAGTTTCTCAGACCCCCCCCCTTGCAGCTGATAAAGCCAGGCTGTTCCAAAGGGCAGGAGTGAGGCTTGGGTGCTCTGCTTCCCATAGGGAGCATTTGGGCTTTAGAGGAAGCCTAAAGTTGTTCACAGGTGAGAAGACAGTGGGATATCCACATTGTCCCCTTTATGGAATACAGATCTCCCTGGCAGTGAGAGAGGACTTCTGTAGAGAGCACTCCATGGTTCTGACTAATTTGTAAGTAAATAGCAGACACTTGCACGTGATTTTAATTGATGGCATGTAAATAGACGTTAGGCATCCAGCTTCGAGCCCAAAGTATACGTGCAGTTTTTGTTGCTGGGTGGTAATAGTGCAAATAAGTTGAATGAGAAAGTAATACATGTTCTTACTACCAAGCATTGTGCTTTGCACTGTCTGTATTAATGTGACGTTATGAGGGATGTGGATTAAAGATTAATGCCAGTTCTCTTAACCTAACTTCTTTACAGTCCACCTTCTGCATTTGTCAATGCACCAAAAGTAGGGGTTGCAGCTGATGGGACACTTGGAGTAATACCTGTACGTTTGCAGTCTTTTGCCCATGTGAGTTGTTGTGCCTCATCACCGCCGCCTTTTTACCTGCCAAGCTTTATTTGACAGTTTCTGAAAAAAATGGGCAGATTTACCTGATGGAAAAACTTGGTTTTCTTGGATATTTTTATCTTGTTTATGTCTGTAAGCACAGGAAGCCCCACTGAAACCAACAAGTTACCTTGGTGTTTCCTTTTGGTAACAGGTTTCTGCCTGCTGTTCCACTAGACAGCTGTAGTAGCCTGAGCTTGTTGTAACAGGTGAATCAGTTGTATTGCACGAATGAAAGAGCCACCTGTTTGGAGAGGAGGCTGTTTCCTTGTTCCAACTCTCACGTTCCTCTCCAACTTGGAGATCAGTATGGGGTGGGAAGAATATTACACCCCTTGTTTTGATCAGTTCCTGACCAACCGCCCTTTAGGATTTTAAAGTGTTTCATGTTGATGTCTGAATCCTGGAGCTGCTAATGACTTCCCTCTCAGCATTCTGTAATTCTGCCTTTTTTGGTGTGTGTCTTTCTGTAGACTTTCTCACAGCTTTTTCTCGCAGCTTTTTCTCACAGCTTCCTCAGAAATGTCAGCCGAGGTTATGCAGCGGGGCCCTGTCAGACCCATAAACCCTGCAGCCTTTTCTGGGGAGGAAGCTAACAGCAGGGTTGCCGTGAGAGGGAGGGTTACAACTGAAACAGGAATGTGCATGGAGAGAGGCAAGAAAAGACTGCACATGCGTTGCGGACTTCTAAGGCTGTTTTTCCATTACATTTTAGGCAACAGAAAATTACAGAAAGAGAATTAACATGAAGATTATGAAAAAGAAAAAGAAG